AAAAAATACCTAACTGACAAAAAATTTAAAATTATATAGAAATATACATTAATCAACTTAAATTAGGTACAATATAATTTTACATCTCTTAAAAAACAATCAAATGTGTTGTCATTCTTGTTTTTTAGACGCCAYCATTGTTCCGCCAAATACGAGGGCAGCAATGATGGAGATGTAGCATGCATTTTTTTAATAATTCGAAGTTTTAAAACAAAATAATGTCCAAAAAAATATATATACATATATAGATGCGTGACAGTAGACCGCATATGACATGTAGAAACATACATGGTAGAAGACAAGTGTGCGGTAGACCGCATACAACATTAATACCCAACTGATTTCCATGCTTCTGGCCTTTTACAGTGCATTTAAAACACTTAATTTACTGTATGCCTTATCAGTGGCGTAGCCAGGGGGGTGGTTTTGGGTGTTATAACCCTCCCCCTCAGCCGTATTTATATCAAAAATATAATGTTTATAATATAGAAATACAATCATTTGGTCGTGGTAAAATGTATTCTGTTATTAAAACCCCCCCCTAAAAAAAATCCTGGCTACGCCACTGTGCCTTATAGATACAAACTCATAATAGACTAAACCGAAAAAAAAAACAATGAGCATTTGATGTTTGACCAGACCTGACGACATTGTTTTAGACGAGTTGAATTTGATATCTTGCATTATGATGATTGAATTTTGGTTTCGAGATAATATATATATATGTCTATGTAATATCACCCCTAAAAAATTAATTCTATAAAGCAATATCAATCGTCAATGATCTATTGTGAAATCGTGATTATATATAAACGTCAAATTTTGAACACTACTTCTTTCTGTAACTGAATGGAGATATTTATTATTGTATACTGAAATAATGGTCATTATCTCTTGTTTTTTTTTTGTTTTGTATAATAACATAAAATATTTTTCTACCATCATTTAAGTTTGGGTATTTATTGAATACATCTTGTATAAAATAATCATTATTTTATCCCAAAATGTAAGAAATTTAAAAAAAATTACCTTAATAGAGATTTACAGTTTTCTTCTCTTTTATTTAAAGACATCATTTCAACATAGACTTTGGCAAATTGTATGATAATATGATTCTGTTTTTCATCTGTAATAATATTATTTCATTGAGTAAAACAATTAGATAGATAATACAAACAGTTATTAGTACTTTCTTCTACCTGGCAATAATTTGATTGAAATAAAAAATTTCTAGAAGAACTAAATACTAAGATTTTAATGACTTTTGMYTATAAATTACCATTTTCTTTTGTAGCTATGTCAATCTTTTCAACTAAATTTTGTAGATTTAGAAGCAATTCTTCATATTCTAATTTTGTGTTTTTTAGTTCAGAGTCAGCATCTTTTAATAATTTAACTTCAGGTATATTATTTAGTCGTTCCTAAACAGTTAACTACATATTTATTTTTAATCTTAGAAATTTGAATCTACTACTCATATATTTAAATCACCTTTCATAATTTTTTTTCTATAATAATTCTATAGGGACAWGGTMGTGAGATTAAAATAAATCAATTAGGTAGATAATTAAATAAGATCATARGTAACCTTATGGAATTTCCATAAATTATAAATTTTTATATTTTATTACATGCATTATTATTAGACATAATAGCTAAATATGTTTCACAATTTGGTTATCATTAAAAAAATTATTAAGATCATATTTTTATTTTCCATAAAATATTTCAAGTTGATGTAATTGTAATTTTACTTTGGTATTTAAATATTTTTTAGAACAATTATCAGTTAAATCTGTTTAAGTCATTGATAAATTATTGTTAATATTTAAACCTTTAAGTACAATAAACTATCACAAAATTTTTTATACAAAATATTATTACAAATGAAATTTCTCACCTCTTCTTTTTGCCATAATTCCATTCTTATAAATAGCTGTAATTCATATTCACATTTTGATTTATTTACTATGAATTTTTTCTTTTCGTGTTCAATTTCAAGATGAGCTAATGTTTCATTTAGGGAGATAGTGATAGTGTCAATACTAAAAAAAATAAAATAAAATTATAAACCATTCTTAGCTTGATTTCACTTTTTAAATTAGAATTTTTTTAAATACTAAAATAAAAATATTATTTATACAATTTTATAGGTAAGATAAATTATATTTAAATATTTATATATATATATTWTATTATGTATTCATGTTACATACTTCACTATATTTTCTCTAACTTCATTCATTCTTGATTTAGTATGATGCAGTTGTTTTTCAATCCATTCATTTTCAAAAGTAACTTGTTTAATAGAATGTTCGATCTCTTCAATACTTTTTAATTTTACTAAAATATGTAATTTAGGTTTAAGTGAAAACTGAGATCAATAGATTGTGTCTTGATGGAAATTTTTGGGTAATAAATCATWAATGTATTRGTATATGATAGACACTCGATAATTCAATGTTGGAGAGACTTAAAGACAACTTTGGATTATTAGGGTTTTRCAAAATAGAAGAAAATAAACTGATTTAGAKAGAGACTTATAAACAAATAAGTATCTATTTTTATATATTATACCTAATGTAAGAAATTAATTACTATGTATTATTCAAAATTAAATATACATTTAAAACGAGATTTAAATATATTATTTTTTCTAAACAGGTGTGTATAGATTTTTTTTTATAGACAAATTATATGGATTAATTTTATACATAGTAAATTGTTTGTTTTATAAGTGCATCCACTTATACCTATCGTAATAAAAAATTGGAACATGTCATATTTTAAACAAAAAATATTTTATGTTTTACATTAACTTGAAATTTGATTTTTAATTTATTTCAAAAGTTTAAGTTTAATTCAGTTTGGTATGGGTACATTTTAGGTTACCGATTTAAGTTACGTAGTTTAAAATGCTCAATTCCTCATGTTACAATCTATAACTCAAAAATAATATAAATTGTATTTATATGTCAATACCTGTTATCAGTCATTATTTAATCATATAAAAAATGTTTATTTAAGAATTAATATGATTTTAAAGCGAAAAATTGATAATTTATATTAAAATTAAAATACTTACAACGACACTTTTCTTCAATTCTCCAAAGTTCGAAACTACTTTCATAAAAAGTCAAATGAATTTTACTCAGGTCGTTGATTGCACTTGAATCATTATCATCATTAGCTGACATTATTGAATTTGAATCAACTGGATTTGAAATCATAATAACATAAATAACAGATTTAATTAAGATATAAAACGTGGATGATAGAGTATAAAAACATTCAACGATAAATGGTAATATAAAGAAAGTTTGAGTACTTACTACTTTATTGCATATAACATAACAGTAAATGTAAATTGTACCTAAAATTCGTTATTCTTTCCGTATACTGTATATATCAACAGGCAATAGCTGTTACAATACTTGACAGAAGTCAGAAATAACTGCCGTCTTGTACTATAGCTGTTAAATAGTTCATAGTTGGAACTTTTGGAAGTATACTATAAATTAAAATGGTGTACCTTGTTTTGTCGTCTTTTAATACGTTAAAACAAACGTTCGGTATAATATAAACCGGTTCCCGATTASCGAATACTTGTACAGGTCACATTGGTAATTGCACAGAATAATTATTATGGTAAGGAAATGTTGGTAACACGTTCGCATAAATATTAGCTGTGATTGGTAGTTTAGGTAAGGCTACTACATGATTAATCACGTTGCCGCGTGGTTGGACATAACCGAACATTTTACGTGTGCGGCACGGGGGTATAATGGAAACATTGGAAACCCGCCTTACTACAATCAAAGATTAGTTACAAGAGATAGCCACCAGGGATTGCAAAGACACTAATATAGTAATATAGCACTGCTACCACAGTTGAGCGCAGCGCACAAAAATACAAATGCTGCGACAAAATATTTCAATATTTCTTCATGACGTAATGCTGAGGGCTTCGTAAAACAAATCGTATCCACATAATAATATGTTGTCTCCGTTTTACACAAAACACACTTACGACATATTGCATTTTCGTTTACTAGATTCARATGATATGTGCTGTTATTTTACTAGTCAAAAAATCATGAACATTTATTACAAAATTCTTCGTAAGTATTTAATCTACCAAATACAAAATATCGAAAATCTTTGATCACAGATTTTTTAT